ACTATAAGATGAGATAACTGCAAAAACACTATACTTTCACAGCACTGAAAATTTGATTAGGAGATGAATGAAGATATCTCACAAATAAATTATCTTGCATAAATATTGAGTTTGCGCTGTAGCACTATGAAAGAAAAGATTAAAAAAAAAAGAAAAAGAAAGAGCAATAACGTATGCACACACTCACGGTAAGCACTGAATAAAAATTACGCGCTTGCACTGAAAAAAAAAAAAAAAAAGAAAAGATGAATACTTGAGCACAATACACGCACTTTTCACTGCCACTAAGTAAGTACTGAATAATATTCACACGCACTATATCAAAGCACTGAATAATATGATTAATACTGGAGCTCTTCGTAGCATTAAACTTGAATGAGGAGATGTACAATCAAATCGCATACACTGCCGATAAAGTATGTACCGTACTGCGAGAACACGATGCACAAACTTCCGGTATTAATAATGAATAAGGAGATGTATGGTGAAATTCTCAAAAATCTTCTTTACATATATTGAGTATGTGCTATAGCACTAGTTCGGACTGGGGTATGTAAGAGGTAAATACTTCGTAAGCGTTAAAATCTCTTTCAAAATAAGCAATGCACACACTTTCACAGATATGAACTTGGATGAGAAATTGCATTAAGCAATGCACACACTTTCACAGATATGAACTTGGATGAGGAATTGCACTGTAGCACTAATAGAGGAAAATACTGCTTGAGCTGAATGCAAACACGCACTTGGCACGAATGATGTGTAGTACTAATAAAAAAAAAAATCAAATACACTGACAGTCGTAAGATGATTACTACTCTTATGTGGCCAAAGATGGCGGTTGACAATCTTTTCCTTCTTGTTTTGAAGAAAAAAAAAAAAAAAAAAAGCAATTTGGAAGGGGTGGATTTAGAGTAGTATTCGATTACAAGCGCACCCCTGCGCTGCCTGTGTCCGAGACTGAGAGGAGGGGAGAATGCTAAAGTTCCTTTTTCTTATCAGCAGAAGGAAGGAGGGTCGGGTAACCGCGTTACTGTGTTAAAGTAACAACGGTCAGGAACACAAGCCGGAACAGTAATACTTAGAAAATTAATTAAATAATCACTGAATAATGATGAAACTTACACTACTGAAGTCCTAGTGCTTTGCTGTAACTGCAGATACAAAAAAATCTCTTGTAAGGCTGAATATTCCGTTCACCGTGAAGCAAAATGTGGGAGCAAAATTCATACGACCTCTTATCTCTGCGTATAGACGCGCTCTCAGATTTACAAGGTATCTTCTCCCTTCTTCCAGCCGGCCTTCGTGTTGTAATTGGAAGTATACTCGACGTGTATTCGAGAGGCCCAGAGTTCAAGCTCCGGCAAGGGCATTGCTCATTCTTCATGTCTCCTGCTTCAAAATAACCTAATTGACTCAACAGACTCTTTCAATTATTATCAGTTTATACGTCTACACTAATATGACTGTCCTGCCATGATGTTGATGCAAGCAAGATCAAAGCTTAAATTGTGCTCGAGCCCACTAGGGCTTGGCTCTGGTACTTCTCAATTTTTTAGAAAAATCATAATTTTAGCTGAAGCGCATCGGATCCCTAAATAAAAGGGCTCCGGCACTTCTTTTATGTAAACGAATTGCAATTTCAGTAGTCAAGTTTTATTGTAATAATAAATGTATCCCGTAACAATTCTATTCTAACTTCTGAATGCTAGCCTGTCTTTCTCTCGCACAGAAGTTGAAACCTTTAAGAAAAGATATCCTCCTCCCACATATCAAAGACTTATTTTCTAGGATGTGCAATGAATTTATGAGAGCGGGTACATTTTTCGTTCCTGAAAGTACTAAGTGAGCCACTAATCGTGCAGGTGCCACTTTAATGACTCCTACAGCAAAGCTCCTGTAGAATTTTTGAACAATGTAACCAAATGCAAGGACCACTACTGTCACTTGTACAGAGGAGTCTTTACGTTTATTCTCGCTTTGTTATCGAAACGTATTCAGGGAAATTTTCTGCTCCATGACTAGAATCATATCGAAAGGGCATTGTGATCAGAAAGTCTTGGACTCTTCCTCTTTATTTTCAAAGCTACACTTTTCTGTTAAAACTTCTTTCCATATCCTCATACTGTGTCTGGAATTCTCACTATTTTCCTTAATGACGCTTTAATTGTTTTATCTGTTTTCATTGGTGTGCTGCAAAATAAGAATGGTTTTTGTATTTGTCATCCCTTGAAAATAGTACATTAATCATATAGTCAGGGCTTAAATTCAGACGGAGATCGGCTGAGCTGCTTCTTATCTTTGGAGTGGAATTTTAATTCCAGTCGGAGCCCCAAGTAAGACAAGGTCGGATAATATTTTTATTTAATTATTTAAAATTAATTATTTAATTTATCACATTTCTATATATATCTTTATATTTTTTAAAATTTAAGGTTAATTCATAAATTACTTTAATTTTTAGTTATTTTATTTATTCATTTTTCTCTTCGTTCCTCACATTCTTCAATAGGGCTCCATTACTTCTAATTAAGAAATTGAGCCCTGAGAAAGAGTAATGAAATTTTGCTTCGTCCAGATCAATGATCCGTGTCAGCTGAACGTTAAAATGCGGTGTTCAGTCTAATAGGTATGCATCCATCATTCTTTACCATATTAAGGAAAGGACATGTAAGGAAACGCCACCTGTTGCTCTTCACTTCATTGTCCATATTCATGCCTTCATTGTAACCTAATCCATCGATTGTTCAGGAGGAAAGAATCCCTCCACAAAGGAATGCTTGACACAGTGTTATGACTCCAGTGCCGTGCTAAAACTCCAAAAGAAGATGAATGGTTAGTCACTGCCGTGCAAAGTTGTTGCTCTATCATCCCGTGTTCTCAGCACCTTTCTTGATTCATTGTCAGAGTTTAAATTCTTTTGATTATCTTCAGTCCACAACTTCCAGACCCTAACACTATCCTGACATCATACACTGAAGATGTATACTGACGCCTTAAGATAGTTTCTAGCTCACAAACAACGGTAAGCTACTTGCTTCATTCTTCTACAAACCTTTGTTTAAATGTCTTACACGTTTGTTCATAGGATGACATCAAGTTTAGCCATGAGCATTCACGTTGCATTTCTAATTATTTGCCAGCCTGACTCAAAAATATGATTATATACAAAGCAGTAGCTTCAACAATGAAAGAGTGAAGTTATTTTTTGGTCTTCGCGTACTCCTAATAAGAACCATAGAGAAAACAGAAAATATTATGCAGATCAGAGAAAACATAAAATATTATGCAGATAACTATTTTAGATCGCTCTGCATCTGAAATTTGAAGTAACTTGAATATGGAAGAACATTTGCTGAGAAATTTTAGTTAGGTAGATTAGTTGATTGCTTACTGGAAAGCACTTGAGAACTATTTTCTTCAGATGGGATGCTTATAAGACCTTCTACGGAAAACATTTCCTAATCACATTACATATAGGGGGAGGAGGGTAATAAAGAACTGCATGTAGTCGAATTCTTGATGAAATGACAGTGTTCACCAATATTATCCTCTCGGTCACCGCCTTGAATCCGATATTTGTACTCCTTGTCCAACTTGTTGTATAATTCATTCCCGGCCGAGAATGAATTATACAACACTTCGGGCTTCTAACACTCCTGCCTCCTCCCGGTTAATGTATCAACCAGCCTCAAGCAGTGGTAGTTATAGTAACATCTTATGCCCAATTATATTGCTTCCGAATAGTTGAGTTAGTTTATTTAAATGCGGAAAAGCATACTACATCTATCTTCTACCTAAGGGAAAGGATGTCTTCGTAGGGAACTTTCTATGGAAATGGCTCGTATTCACATTAGACCCATGAGAGCCAGCCCATTCGCCTGAGTTCGATCCCGCGTTGAACTACCAGTATTTAGCGATCTTAACCTTTTGGCCCCTGGTGGAGCCTCCTCCCGAGTAGAGCCGAATGTGAAGCTCCAGGCAGTTCAATATGTCCAAAATATAGTAATATTCTTTCTGAAATACGATAATCCTAGCCTAGAAAGCATTAATCTTTTGGGGCAGACTTTCATCTGTTTATGCACATGGCTGAAGGTAGGCGAAGCTTTGTTAGACTTGAATAAAATGATGCCAGATTTCTGAACTTCTACTGCATCGAAGTGATTTTATGAATTATGAATTTCAGTTTCTTCAATTTACACTATTTAACTGATGCTAGGTTTAAATATTGTGGTGTAATTTGTTCGCTCTACTAGTATGTATACTTTTTTCAATACAATCTTAAGTAAATGCCACTGAAAATTTATCATTATTGCACAGACGTATCGCTATCTTAAAGATCTCCATAATTTTTTTTTTTCGTTATTTAGTTCCTATCAAATTTAAAACTGTTTTGCAATTTTGTTTCACTACACTGGAAAATTTAGCTAAGCACTTTTCTATGAGTATTTAGAAGGGTTAATTATTAATTTATTAGAAGGGTTTAAGATATTAAACAATCATTTTAAAATGCAAAACTGAATGAACTCTATTTTTACCAGCACGTTTAGTTTTTCTACTGTGTCCACCATAGTTAATCCATTTCTTTCTGAGATGTCAGCATGAGCCAGCTCGTGTTTCTGTTTTCCACTGTTAAAGTTGCGATAGAATACTTTTTTCTATTTTTTTTCATTCTACACGTATTTTGACTACTTTCTTCTTCTTGGGGGGGGGAATTTAGGGACTATTGTAAAATAACTATCTAAATTAGTTACAAACATATTTGTCTAAATTGATTGCTTTGAACGCTCATTTTTCATATATTCTGAAACCCAGTTAAGTCTGCTTCATTTAAAGAAAAGAAAATGTTTTCAGCTCTTATAGCGTAGAAATTTATAAATATGGATTAAATTTATATAAAAGAGCTTTGTCTGACGCACAAGACCTGTTGGCAAGTTAATATAATTAATGTAACAAAGGAATAAATTGAAACGTTAAAAAATCAAATTGTATTGACTTACCAACATCTGCTGATTTAAGACCAGATATTAAAAGAGCTGAAAAAAGAAAAATCGTAATTAATATTGGAAAGAGTACATAATGTTCATTTTTTAGAAATTTTATCTTCAAATGATTAATATTCTTAATAGAAACGGAAACGTTTTGCGCCAATTATTATTAAACCTTTTGCAGATTTTACTGTGCCTTTCGTCATAACTAAAAGTCTTTACAACAAATATCTTCCCAATGTGACGTTTGAGAATTTTTATTAATGAGTAATCTGCTTTAAGATACTACATTAACTTTTCAGAAACTTACTTATTTTGTCATCCATTTAATACTATTAATACTATCTATAAATGAGAATCCATTTAATACTATCTATAAATGAGAATCATTCTAATCATTTAGAGAATACTGAGACAATAAATATTGTGACAGATTTCTTCCAAATGAAATTTTGAGTACCAGTTTTGTAACTAAGAGCTTATAAATATTTAAACATTTTCAATAAGAGAGTTTAAGTCTTATTGTTCAGCTGAACATTGGGCGCAGAGGATTGTTTCCTGATTTTGCTTACTTTTACTTCCTCGTAAAAAGTAAAGGAAATATTGCAATCGCAAAAAATTTTGGGTATCATATTTCAACAGAAATATTTAGTTTGACCGTTTCGGAAACCATTTGATCGGTTTTTTTGCTTGATATCTGTACGTGCGGGTAGAATAAACAACCCTCTTTTTCCAAAACGGTTTATAAAGTGGATATAAAATGGATTCAAAACGGATCTTTTTCGGGACGTCTTAAGTATTTACGTACGTATGTGCATGTATGCAACTCGTTTAACTCAAAAACGATTAGCCATAGAACATTGACTTTTGTTTACGGGACTACCATGGCATCTAGTTATGCACCTCCCTTAATCGGCAGTACCAAACTCATATACAGGGTGATTCTAAATTGTTTTTACGAATTAAGAGAGGTGATAGTACCCATCCAGACGAGCAATAATTACCATAGAACATAGGGTCGCATTTCACTCTGAGAGGCAGAAAAGAGAATTATAAGAATTCCAACTTTAATTTATAGCAGTGTTGGGAAAGCGAATGAACGAGGCCAAAAGTTGCGCAGTTAGATTTATTGTTTAGTGAAAAACTGATAGAAAGTGCTCAATGTGCCAACCACGCGTGTCGTTGCACAGTTGACAAAGGCGAGGGAACGGCTGGCGCATCTTCTCGAAGATTCCTGGTGTCGTGTTAATTTTGTTCGCGGCAACAACAATCTTCGCCACGAGATCTTCAGCTGAGTCCACAGACGTCTCCTACACTTTGTTTCAAATCTCATCAAAACTCGCTCTTCCATTTCTGGCACTCGTGCATTTTGCGAACAACCTGCATTGCTTTTTGAGATGGCAAAACAGCCGGTTTCTAGCAGTCTTCGATCAACACTGAAAAGGTGGATGACCTTGAAATACGACGAGTTGGAAAACGCTTATTCGTACAATCTTCGTGCTTCGCGTCCATTTCCTTTTGCTTCACCGTATGTGCGGGTGAATATCTGCCAATTCCTCGTACGTGTACTCCGCCATAGCATTCATGAAGTTTCGGACGACCTATCAAGGTAATACTTGAAGCCATGATGTTGTGCAATTTTCAAGGACAGCGTTTGCTCTGATTCGCTTTCTTCGGTACCAGTTAAAAGCAAAATGTTGCTTCTTCTCAGTGTAAATTTGTATACGTTTAATTATGTAATTTTTGGCCATGATCGTATAGTGGTTAGTACGGATAATTATTGATAGTCTCCTTCTTCTTTATCGATGCGTTTCTACTTTCCTTTCTTCTCTCTCTCAGAGTGGAATGCGATCCTATGTTCTATGGCAATTATTGCTCGTCTGGATGCCTACTATCACCCATCTTCATTTGTAAAAGCAAGCAAAAAATATGGCAAAATCCGACATGTGCATATGTGGGGCACAGGGAACTTCTGATCATTACACTTTCTTATCCCCCTTAACTGAGGATATTAACACAAAATTCCTACAAATCAATCTCATAGGAGCATTCCAAAGGTTTCTAATTAAAGATAAACATCAGTATCCGCAGTTTCAAAAAATTATGCAACAACTGTCTTCCTAAGGCCTAGATTTTCGTCAAGTATAAGTTCTCATACTATATAAATTTTATGAACTTTTACATTCTGTGAATATCTATAAAATGAATCCACTTGGGGAACTTTTATAAACCGCAATAATATTTTATTAACTGTACTTGCCTCAAGAACACCTCTTTAGTATTATTACTACAGTTCATTATTACGAGTACATTGGGTTCCCAGTAATTTTTATATTTATCGCATTATGTTTATCTGTATACTAATTAAGTTTATTTGGTATTTTTGTTACACCAAAACAGATGTTCAATTTAATTTGTGAATTTCAAATTGTATTGAAGCTGTATTGTAATCTCTTTATGTCCTAAATCATTATTTTTAATAAATACTGGATGCGGGATGTACGGTGGGATTGCACGCTGTACCATAATAGGTAAAATCTAGATCCTTTGGAAAGCTTCAGTTGCTAATTTACTTAACCTTTCTCTGAAAATTCTTATAAAAGCTTGTAATTATTTTCTTTCTTTTTTTTTCTTTTCCTTTTTTTAAAAAAACATTTATGGGCTTTAGTATGGGAGGGCATTACCATGGAATGGATCCATGGAACATCGCTGGTACCCCCGTACTTTTACCTGTACTTGTGTTTAAGAAATTTAATCTTTACAGATAAGATTTGTTCACCATTTTACTTTCTCTACCTGACAAACCTTATTAATGTTTTTTGCTGATACATCTTCGCAAAATGAATTATTTGGATCTTTTATCCTTCTGTCCGTAGAAAGAAGGAAATTCAAAGGAGGTTACATGAGCGGAAGTCTGGATGTAGTCGATAAATTGACAAATTCAATGCGCTAAAAATTTCGTTTGATTAAAATTTGCATTATTTTCCAAGATACTTCTATTTGTTGCTGAAAGCAAATGAAACTAATAAGTATACAGTTTTCTTGCTCTTCTATTACACGGAAGGGAAGGGGCACTCTAAGGAATGTCTCTTACATCCTCTATCGCGGGTGCGAAATTTCCTTTTGATGCTGTTCAAAGGTTAGCTTTGCACCGGTTATGGATTTATCAATCATTACAATGCTTACCTTGGTCAGTGGTGCAAATAAAATCTTTGAGTTGCTCGCTGTTCATTGTTTCACATCTGGGGCAAGAACCATCTAACGTTGGACATGCCGTTGGGCTAATTCCAGCAGATAATTTCACTTCGCTGTCTTCTGTTTCCAAGATAATTTCTGCTGGTATCTGGTCCGTCCTGGGATTTGGGAGGGTCTGTGAACCGCACACAGGCAACCTGAATTCACCGACGGAAAGTGGATGAATTGAAACTGAACTGGACATCTGTAGGTTGATTGGACTGCTCAGAGTTACTGGATCTTGCACTGCCAATAATGCAATTGCAGAAGCTGGAAAGGAACAGCATTAAATCAGTTAAATTGTTCGTATGTGATCTTAAAGAAAATTCTTTTCCTGCTGTGTTATACGCATAGTATAGAAACTTTTCATAAATGCAAGATAAACAATTATAGTTCTTAAATCTTTCTTAAATGATTTTTAATTAGAAAAAACTTCTCACAACTATCATTGCTTACAGCAAAAATAGAGGAGAGAAGTTTGCAGTAGTATTATAATATTCATTCTTGAGATCGTATTTTAGAATAAACTGCAAAAATTCAAAAGAATGACCTTCCACATTCCTGTTCAAAATGGAAATAAAATTCTGAAATATATAATTTAGTTGATTTTTGTAATTTTTTATTCAAAAGTTTCGGCGGAATAAAAGAAGTATAGGAGTAAGTAGCTCTTTTTTTCAGTTTTATTCCGTATGCTAATTTAGAATTTCACGTTTTTTTCCAATCCCCGACAAGATCTAGGACCTTTCGCCAGCGCCATTTCGCCGTCGGTATGTTTCGCTGTCGAGACGTTTCGCCGTCAAGACATATTTTTCTTTAAATGACAGTATTTTATCTTGTCGTATTATACTCGTATTAAATTTATTTACTTTAATAATTCTGTTTACCTTTTGTATACTTAATAAAGGTTCTTTTTAATATATATAGTTATTTAAATGTATGAGATATATATAAATTACACATAGTTATTTGGAAAATTATGTCAGTATCAAAGAGAACTGGGGCTAAACATTTGATATAACAGAAGTTATATTATCGATTTTAAAATTATGCGGGTACAATATTTACATGATTCGTCAAAATTTCTTGAAATTTTAATCGGTATTTCTGAGAAATTATTCATACAAGCAGGAAATTCACATCTTTATGAAATCTGAATGGGAAACGGGATTACTTTGGAATCTTGTCAGCACCTTACGCTCTTAAAATTAATATATACCACGTGTAACGGTGTATTTGTATAAAACTGTACACAAAAGCATTTTATATATTATTTTATATAAAATGTTTATTAAATTAAATTAGATTACTAAACTAAACAGAGTTATTAATTTAAATCGACTTAATATAATATAATACAGTCGTGTAAAGAAAAATATGTCTTGACGGCGAAACGTGTCCTGACGGCGAATAGTTCCATTCCCTCCTCGACAATCCAAGTGACTAGCCCCAATACAATATTGTTGCACGTGGAAAATCCTGCCCGTATAAATGTTCATCACGGGGCGTACCGCTCTTGTTTTAATTACGCCACTGCTTTCTTATTAACTTCCTTCAAAAACGCATTGATATAAATCTGCCATGGTCACACTCTTTTTCCGCTTATCCATCGGGTTGCACATACTATATCGCAAAAATATATTTATAATTTTTAAATTATATCACTGAACTAAATATGTAAATAAAATAAAATTCTAATGTTAATCTATAATAGAGTTTTAAATCTTTTTTTAAATTTGATTATTTCCCTTTTCTATCCTAAAAAATAGTAATTTATTTTCAGGTGCGTTATTTCAAAATTAATCCCTGTCATGTGATTATTATGTAACTCACATGACAAATATGCACTGACAAAGGCCAAAAATTAAACTGAAGTTTTTATCATATAATTTAGAACACCTGTATGAGATCAGTTCTAAAAATACGAAATTTTGATTCTTACTTTCTAGAAAAGGACAGTAACAATGCTTAGGGATGGAGATGACAATGTTGAGGTTTGGCTTGAGAACTGGCTTTCCTGCAGTTACTTCAAATAAAGTGTTCAAAACGCCAGTGAGGCAATTGTTACTCGAGTCAGGATCTGAAAAGAAATATTTGAGGAATTGATTTCCTGCACAGCAGTATGGTTATTAAACAAGTTTCGTAGAGTTTCTCAAATAATTTATCCTAAATCCTTCTTCTTAATTATTCTATTTAGGTGTATTTTCATTGGAATATATAGACCACATAATAGCGTTTAAATGTTGTATATCCAAAGCAGCTTTAGTATGTATTCGCAGCTGAGAGGTTAAATTATACAAGTAAAATGTGTCAAAGGATTTCATTAGAGTTAAAAATCGTTTTCAAAGAGATAAGTTTCAAAATTTATAAATAATGAATACACATGGTCTGAATAAATTGCTTTAAAAGATAAAAACAATACGTGCGTGGATATATGAGCGTGTCGAATATCTGTGTGTATGTCGAATATCTGTGAGCTTATCGAATATCTGTGCGTATCATTTCCTAGGAGATAATCATTTTGATTTGGATAATCATTATAGGATGAATTTTAAATGTATTATTTATTTTAATTTACTTTGCATTATTACCACCACCTTTTGCTGCTTTCAGCGCTCAACTGGATCAGGTTTTGAACTGTCTTTGTAATTATTCTTTTATATATCTCTCTCTCTCTATATATATATATACATACAATAATCTCTCTCTATATATGCATTAATAAATTTGAGTATTACTTCAAATTATACGGTATGAAGACCGCGAATAAAAATTCTCTGCTGATATTGGAGCTATTCGGAATTAGGATTTTCAATCGCATCGGAAAGCAAGAATATTTGACTTGAGAACTATTATTTATTACACTTGTAATAAATATAATTTATAAGAAAAACTATTATTTTCTTATGCGAATGTAATTGTTCAGCAAGGGATAACAATATTATAAAGAGTAGTCTTTACATGACAACAGCATATTTGGTGAGAAAAATATGGTATAGGGAGACTGAGAACAAGAGAAAGGCGGATTCTAAGAGAATATCTAGACACAAGGGCTTAATGTTTTAGTTAGCTTCAATTTGAAAGTAAATAATATCTATCATATTTGATTTTAGCACTAGGGAAGCAACAAGAAGCAGTCTGAAAAATGCAGAGCTAGAAAAACAATTTAAATGAAAAATAATGAAATGCATTCTTACCTTCTATCAAAGGTTTCAGCATCTTTACCATCATTGCTAGAAAGAATGAAAGGAAGGAATATAAAGTTTCGAAATGTTTTAGAAATAAGTAAATACTCATATACATTTAAAATCTATGCAAAATAAAAATATACTATATACTTATTCGTTAAAATTTTTGAAACTGCATCAAGTTGTTTCAATGAATTATATCAAATTGACTTTTTTAATGCATTATAAGAAATCAGGGACTTCATCCGCATATTTTTGCTCCCTCTTTCCCATCAACCGATGTATGATTTCATTTCTCTGTTTTACTTTCATGCAAAGGAATTTTTGCGAAATAGCATTTTTCTTACTTTCTACCTATTTTTTAATGCTTTATTTGAATTAAAAAATGAAGGTTTCTATGTTTTACGTTTATAGTATAGACGCAGTATTAAAATTAATATAGTACTATATTTTGCATTTATTCTTTTACACCTCTCTCTACTTTATGTTATTAGCATACTACCAGAAGTAACCGTTCTACGCCCAGTAACATTTTTACAGTTTGTATTGGTTGTTTGAATGGGTAAATTATATAACGTGTTTAGGAGGAATAATTTTAAAAAGGTAAATAATAGAAACACTTATGATTTAAAAAAATTAAATAATAGAAACAGTCAAAGGCTTATTCTCAATGAAACATTTACAGCCTATCACAGAAAGTGATGGGGAATAATGGCGTTTCCATTTGAACCGTTCAAGCGCGCCTCACCACATCCTTTCTCCACGGTAGCGAGCATTTATTGGCTATTCCTTGATTATCACCTCTTCTCTCCCACTCACTCCTCAGTCCTCCATCTTTGCAACGCCTTATATCGATGATGGATGACTGATGACGCACTGTAATTACCGCATAATATTAAAGACTATCGGGATTCATGCCAAAGTTTTATGTAGAAATTCTTTACCTAGTTTAATGGCCGTTTACTTTGTTAATTCAGAAAATGCGTTAAATTTATATATTTTTTAATGTTATAAAACGTTGAAAATATAACAATGTGAATTGCTGTTTATGTGAAAAATGAAGGTTACATAGAATTTTTCACCGCAATTTTAACTAATCTACTTCGTATTATTTTCGGTGACAATAAGACGAAAAAATAGCGATTTAATTAATTGCTCTAGCCGTTTAGTTTTTTGGTCTATATGTAGAGACATTAGGTATTTTGAAAGCAAGAGAGAGGAAAAATTAGCAAACGCTTTCGCCGGGAATCGAACCACGGAGCTCTGGAATACCGGCCCAGCGTGCAGAACCACTACACCACGAAGGCACGCAAGGGAAGCGGGAGAAATACCTTATATACTACCCTTTTTAAAGGGCGACTAGGGTTTTAGGGGACCTAGTCGCCAAATCCTGGGTGTGGAGAGTCATCATCCACAACCCTTTTAGTTGCGCCACTGTAGAGACATTAGGTATTTTGGAAGCAAGAGAGAGGAAAAATTAGCAAACATCTTCGCCGGGAATCGAACCACGGACCTCTGAAATACCGGCCCAGCGTGCAGAACCACTACACCACGAAGGCACGCTAGGAAAGCGGGAGAAATACCTTATATATATATGATATTTGAAGGTAACAAATCTAATCTATCTTACGCGTAATGAAACTGTGATTAAGCTCTCTTTCTTAGTGATAGAATGGAAAGCGTAAACTAGGAGATTATAATTAAAGACTTTATAGGGTTCTGTTTAATTGTACTAACAGGCATTTTAATTTTTGAACCTTCCTGAATTCTCTTATTTCCCCTTGCTAGGATGCAAATTAAGAAGGCGAATGAGAGTATTTAAACTTTTAAGACGAAAAGGTTAGACAGAGCGCATTTCTCTAGTGAAGCACATGTTTGCTATTTTGTTCTCCAGCTGTTTATCTTAGTAGCGGCTACGCATTCTGGCCGTCTAGTTAGTATATCGCCGATGTAGATTTTCTGAGTCAGCCTGTTAGATTTAAATTTGAATTGTGTAGTCTAGCACTACTCTTATCTTTAAATTTATTGTTAAATTACCTTTAACTGAGATATCGTACAGATAAGTCGTAAATCAGATTTACATAATTTATACTTAGGAATGAAATTCGCTTAATTTAACTAACCGTTGTGATCGGGGGAGTTAATCATACGTATTTCTTTCTTTTCTGTTGGGATATTTTATATAGTGCTGTGTACCGTAACTGTTGCTGTTGTGACTAAGCTCGCTTCTCTTATGAGCAAGCCCATAAAACTTATCGTGGCAAGGAGGCATGACTGCGCCTGCCGTTGGCAAGAGCGTTTGTCACCATATAGGGGATAGTACGTCTTTGCTCAGTTCCGCCCCCGAGAAGAAGAGCATTCCGGGGGGGAGGGTCCAAAGGTCTTCTACCCCTCTTTCCCTACCACCAGCCTCTAGAGTGGACTTTCGGCTCACCATATATGTAGAGTGCTCCCCATGCCGCACATACACTAACTGCATTTAACGGTTTGCTCAGCGCGTCTATTTTAGTAACTAATTATGCGACATTTTCTATCAACTGGTGCATTTACGTCGAGTAACAGAGACTCTGTTTGAAAGATTTTGTCAAGGAAATTGAAGATAATTTCATTCATACTTACTTAACTGTGCAGAACAGTGCACTTCTGGAGTTATGGGAACCCCTTCGCAAACTGGACAGGAAATGTTGGAGGTCAAGCAATCAGGGAGTTCAGGCATTAATGGCAGATTTAATTCGTCAGGAGATGGAGGAGGAGGAAAATATGGAGGTGAAGGAGTAAGTTCAGCATCCGTTGGCGTTGGTGGAATGGGGACTGGAGCAGGAGTCTCTGATGGGCACAAGTTGAGCACTGTTGTCCCTGGAGACAAACATGCAGCAGTGATGGATGGTGCCATCTGAATAGTGTCGAAATTCTCCGGGAATGTTTCGGACATGAAGAGGGCATAACCACCAACTGAAAAAGGATTCATAAAAGATTCAAAAGCCTTTTATTTATTTAAACAATATTTCCGATATTTGGTAAATGAAACCTATCAGGCATGGCAAACTCAGTACGTCAAGATAAGATAGCCAAATAGTAATAATGCAGGAAAGGGAACAAAAGCCGTAAAAGTGAGTAAATGCATAAAATTTTACCAATATTGTGGTTTTTTAAAAGTAGAAGCATAAAGGTGGATACTTATTGTTTCCCGACGCTTGACATCTTTTTCTGCAACCAACTGTTATGTGACACGTTGCTCGAACTAGCGATTTTCAGAACAGAAGTCAGATGAATGAATGTCAGATGAACTTCCATCTCGCTAGGAACTTGTTCCTTTTCAGTAGTTCGAAAAATTGCTCACACTGATACGTACTACCGAACAGGGAAAACACGTGCGATGCAAATTTACGGTTTTCTGAAAATCGCATAGGCAAATATTTGTAAAACTCGAAGATACCCACTTCACTGAATCTTTGCCGTAGAGTTCAGTCGCAAAGAATTTCTCTTACTGTGGCACTTCAGTTAAAATCATCTGAATTTCGTATTTGTTCAAAAACGAACACGAAATTCAGTTACAACAAATAATGCAATAACATTTCTTCTAACAGCACATGGACTCTTCATTTCATATCTTTTTCGTTTTGGTTTGTATCATACAGACAACTACATATGTGGATCAATAGGAACAATAGATCGTTACCTGTTTGAATGTACAATCACTAAAGATCTTCAATTTTTTCCTTTCATAAGTGAAAATGCCCAAGCATGGTTCAAAAAACTACTCAGAAGTAAACTTCAAAATTTAATGGAATATCTAATAGAAAATTGTGATAGTCTAAAGGAGCATAAATTAAGGCATAACAATTCCACATCAGCATTATTTCGACATAATTACCATCATTTCAAAGCAGCATAACTTTCAAACTAGAGATATGAAACTTAATCCAGACTAAATATAAACTTTATCAGAACTTACTTCAGATTAACTATTAACTTTAACAGATAAACAAACTTTAACAGAGTCATGAAATGTGAACGTTTATGAATAGTGAATTATTTATGAATTATGAACTATTTATGAACTGTGAACTATTATTACATGTCAGCATATCACCAAAATCCTATGTTATTTAATATGTTTATAACCAAAATTTTGAATTTAACTCTTCATTTGTATTCTACATCATGCATTCTATATTTTACGTACGTATCATCAAAATTTCTTTCAATATTTATATGAAATTCTGTCAGTGTATGTCAAGTATATGTCAAAATTACGTATATATCAAAATCAAATTTTTATTGTTAATATTATAAAATTTTAAATGATCATGGTCCCACTGAGTGAGCAATAAAGTTGAAAGTCTTCATGACGGCACAGCTGCTCACCCAATGGTCTCCTGTAATATCTATTCAGCGGAGGCTTTGTCAAGGGGTTTCTTCGCAAGTACAGAATTGAAATTTCTGCCAACTGTAATACCTATACATTGTTTTGCACGACAAGGAAGTGCTTAGAATAACTGCTGAATTGCAGTTGAAGGATAATTGAAATAAACCTTCCTCAAATTCTTCTACATAATGAGTTATCATCAAAATACATTATCCTTTAAGTGGTGTTTTAATTGTGGAAAAAAAAAACAGCTGCAGAAAGAAAATTTAAACTAATAATATTGTTACGAAATGTGCAGGCGCGGTGAGATAACTTTTAAGCAGTTTTAAAGCAAGTTTAGGATTGCCATAAAATGGCAAAGTATGGCAGGGTTGACACATTTGGTGATAAAATTGGCGATATGACAAGGACGAATGGAGAACCTTTTGGAACGAATTCTTACTGGTTTAGCCCAGAATGTTCTCGAATACAAGCAGAAAGCTATATAAACCCTGCTGGTCCGCAGTCAGTTAGAGTGTGCCTCGTCTAGCGAGCTGATAGTCAGTCATTGAACGAGTGTCTCGAAGTCTAGCGCCGATTTGGTCGTCGAGTGCATCGAGAGAGTCTTTTAGTGTATCGCGAGTTAGTGCATCGTCTAGTTTTATCTTAGAATGTGCTGAGTCGAGAGCTGTACTCTTGTGTATCGTCGAGTGCATCGCGAGTTGTAGCGTGGAGTGTCTCGAGAGTAAGTGGAGTTCTGAGAACGGCCGAGCAGAAACGGAAGCTGTACTCTGGTGCTTTGCAGTGAAGCTGTCTCCACCGTTTGGTGTTTTGCAGTAAAGCTGTCTCCACCGTTATTGCCTGATTGTGTGAAGGCTGTGTCGCTGATTGTTCCAGCGTGTTTATTGTAGTTCTTCGACGACTGTGTGAAAGTGTTTGAAGCTATCTTGATTAATATTGGCTAAATAAAGTGTGTTTCGATACTTCATCAAGTGTCGTCGTTATTCACTCCAAATCTACGAACCCCGTACGAACGTGAAGGAAGAAAATAACGTAACAACTGGTGTCAGAAGAAAAACGCAACAATCCAATTATGTAAAGTGAAAATTTGTTTTATCATATCTCACTAACGACAGTGTTGTAAAAATATAATCGGTTACGTTTTTTCAGAAGTTCTGTCTTTATACTATATATTCCATGATATAGACAGACGTCTGAGATCACTCCAATGAAGTGCATCAGTAGCACTTTGTTTATTGGGTACGAATCCTTTATGATGTTTTTTTTTTCTTTTCGGCTGCAAAATATGTTGAGTATTGTAGAGTCATTAGGTTAATTGGAAGCAGAAAAGATGAAAAATATGCAACCGCCTTCGCCGAGAATCGAACCACGGACCTCTGGAACACCGGCCCAGCGTGCTACCGTTACACCACGAAGGCACGCTAGGGAAGTGGGAGAAATACCTTATAGCATTACTTTGATTTTTTTTTATTTATTCCAATGAATTTCTTGTGCTTTCAGTCAGCCAGTTGATTTGCATGATTTGTTTAGGTTTGTATCAAAATATAAATATTTAATTACCTATATACTCATATTATTCCGAAATGTGGGTTTCTTTCAGCGGCAACAAGCAATCCTTTCAACAATACAGGTATAACCCGAGTAGATAAATTTTAGCTACGTTGAAATATGCTTTTTTCGAGATTCTTGAAGTTTTTTACTTGCTCTGTATGTAACAACATGTTCTGCCATTTCACAGAATAATTCTCATTTCTAGATGGAGCAAAAGGTACGGCAATCAATCTAATCTTATATAAATTTATTTACATAAGATATATTACTGAAATTTACCTGTACTTACCTGCTTCAATCATGTGGCAATTGCATGAGGGAGCGGCAAAAGCGGTAATCATTCCGGAAGTTTTCTTATGTTCTGAGGGAGCGATGACATTCTTCAACTTCAAGGTGACACTGTTGCAAGCACCTAAATATGCAAAATATCTCATGTTATTTAGCATAGTGAAATAATCTAAGTGCAAAAATACACGACAAAAGGAAATTTTGAAATTTAGCAAGAAACAGTATAAGATTACCTTAGATTTTGAATAAAATGCAATTGATTTCAAAATTTGATTAAATTATCAGATATAGTTCCTTGTTCATGAAGACCAAAAAGTTTTGAAAAGGCGGAAGAGGCAACAATCATATTTATATGAAAAATCAGTTACCGAAGAAAGGGAAGGCGAGGGTAGAAACCATCTCTTGAAAAAATATGAAACATTGAAGATGTTTTTATATTTTATTTTAGTCAATGCCTTCATTTAACAAACAACTGAAGTCTAAATTTAACTCATCCACGTTTCGTTATTTTCCTTGACAAAAAGCATTTAGTTAGTTTTAGTTTTGCTTTGCCTGTAAACTCTTTGTAAATAGAATGATTTCTCCTTCTACTTTTTCAAAACATTTTCACTCCTAATCAAGAGGGACCTTTATCTGATTACCCTTGAAATCAATAGAGTTTTATTAAAATCCCACACCAATATAAATTTTCTTTTTTGTCATGTTTTAAATAGTGAGTAAACTAGGAATGTACGAGTAAAAAAGGCAACATACAAATTTAATACTTAGATTTGATTTAAAAATGATTAACTTTCAAAGAATTTTTTATACATTACCTTTAATGTCATTGCTTCTTTTCGATGCTTCTGAAAATGAATTGATAAATTTCAAATAAGTTTTTGCATAGGTCTCAAATTTAATTGGTAAGTTACAGAATTTAATGATAGATTTATTTAACTATACTATGGATTGTGAAATGAAAGAAAAACGTCAGCATTTTAGATAAAAGTAGATAGAATTTGTTATTTAGTAAGAAGTTTGAAATCTCGATTCAGTACTTAGAACTACTATTTTTCAATCAGGTTCGACTAAATTTGTTTCTTGTTTGGTTAAATGATTTACTATTTATAGTTGAAAAGTTTTTACTTACCCCCAATATGTAGACGTAGACCAGAACTGTAGGTTGATATATCGTGGAATGCTTTAATAAAAAGAGAAAGAAGATGTAAAATGAGATCTCAGTAAGTTTTCACAAATGTCATTAAAAGCTATTTGTATCAAAGAGATCACATATATTCTGTATGAAGAAATATTGTATATTCCTGTGTAAAAAACTTCGGGGAAAACGTTTGTGGAAATATTTGAAATATAAAAAATTAGTACCCTGTCATCTTCGAATGGGATCAAATTCATTTGTTCCAACGCTTCTAACATTCGTAAAGGTATTAATAGAATTCCTTTTTTTTTCAGTATGAGATTGGCCATGTCTGCTTTTTGAATTGTTTAAACTGTTTGGAAACATTAAATCCATTGAACTATGTTGAGAGATTGCAACGCTCAGAGGATAAGAAATCCCACAAACAGGGTAATAGTAGCACGACTGGGATGTATTTCTCATCACAGCAGCTCCATGCTTCTGTGTTTAAACACACTTTGCTCAATAAGCGACATTGCTCTGAATGGTCGGAAAAGTGTTTCAAATCCAAAGCATGTTCTCCTAAAAATGTATACACTATTTAACAATTGATGATTCACTTCATTTTCCCTCCTTAAAGTTTTAAGTGATTTGATATAATAGATGGAATTGTAATAAGATTTGAAGAAAAATATTAGCCAAAAACATAAAAATACACTTAAAGAGCAAAAGTATTCTAGACAGATGTCCCCCCCCCATGTGTGTAACTTACTATCCTCGAATTAGAGATACGTTGTATACGGATAGAACTATTCAGAATGTTCGCAGAAACACACTCATGTTCAAAATTATCTTTACATGCTTGAAATTACAGATTTCTCAAAAATTATGAAATATAATTTACCGAATTTATGTGGAATGATACATAACATCATAATGCATAAATACAAAGAGAAAACATTAACAGCGCTGCATATGATATAAAACTGTATCGTGAAACAATAAAAATAGTAATAATATGTTACAGAAAGAGTTAGAAAAGGTAACTCAGAAAAATTGAGGTTTATGTATTTAATATTGAACGCGATCTCCATTCAAATGTGCACACATATCAAAATGGGTTTTTCATGCTGGCGATAACTTTGTAAATCACTGTTTGAGGAATTAAGTTCCACTCCTCCAGCAATGAGGTCTTCGGGGCATTTACATCTCTAAGAGGAGGATATTTTCTTGCAACTGCTTTTACAAGGTAGTTGCATAAGTTATTTATCGGTTTAAGATATGATTTTGATTGCCGTGGTACTCGCTAACCACTGGCACTTCCAAAGAATTCATCAGCGAGATTTGTTGGATACGGAAGAATATTATCATTCATAAATAAAAAGTCAGATCGATATGTACCTCTGAAAAATTTTACATACAGTTTTAAGACTCCCTACAGATATATCTGGCAAGTCACAGATCCGCTGTTGGAAACGTGTAGGGGAGTACACTCATCGATCATTAATCCTTTCCAGACCATCGTATACCTGCACTACGAAACGGTCATTTTTCATAATGTTCGTAGGGATATTTTGCTTTCCTGACTCCCGCCAGCTGTGCAAATGTTTAAAAACCTCGACTCATATATCAGTACAGAAAATATAGGACCACTGGTGTTTACTCCATTTGTGATGGTCTTTGCACCAATCAAATCGATCCCTATTTTGTTATGAAAATAGTGAAACATATACCGTTGGCTTTCTGGTAAAAAGGGGTTTTTTCATTAAGCCTTCTGTATACAGTTTACGGTGATACAACAGTTCCAGTAGCGACTGCAAGCTCTGAATTTAACTGCTGAGCAGTAGACTTCCTGTTACGACTGGCAGTTATTTTCGGATATTGATCTTCAGAAGCAGTTGTTATTTCTTTACGACCTTGTCCAGGCCTTTTTACAATGGTCCTAGAGTTCTGAAATTATTTCTATAGCCAGAGACTGTCTGGCTTCACACATCTCACTGCTTACGTGATTGTCTGCCTTGCTTTTAAACGGTCGACGATTCGCTATTTAACAGATTCTTCCAAATGAAGCCATACAAAACTGTTATAGCTTACACACTGAAATTAAACTCTATATTGCATAAATTCACTCAGACATTTATTTTTCGCAAAGCACTTGATTCATCGTTAGATGACTTAATGCCTTGATTTGCATATCAGAAACCGTTTGATCATCTTTTATTGGATAGTTCTAATTAAGATTGTTTTTCACATATTCCTTAAAAAATTGATTACATCAATGGGAATATGATTTTTGTTGAGGGCGTATGAAAAATATTGTGTATTTGGAAAACTGAGGACATGAACCAGCTGAACAAAGCAAGAAACGGTGATGAAAATACACCGTCAGATTTGAAGAAAATTTGTGAGGCAGGCGGTCTGTAAGACAAGAATTTAAAAAGTAAGTCTCCATAGCATTTTGAAACCGTGTCATTGGAAAAATTACGTTCGAAGAATATTCCAAGTTCTAAGTGAAGGCAATTAAGATATAAAAGTGCAGTTTTGAAAATGATACTTAGTAAGATGTGCAGAGAATGCATAATTTTCAAGAAAGAATGTTTGGAATGAAAGCACATTAAAAAACATGCACCTATAAAAAGTTATATATTATATGTAGAGTTTTCCGAATTATGATTGTAAATTAATAAATTTATGCTTCGTGTTCTTTCATAATGGATACTCATTTCCTAGAAACAGGCTGTATTTGCACTACGACACGAACCACGCTGTCCTTTATATCTCTCCTTAACTATTATCCATAGGAAATATGTTAAAGCCCTCCGACAGACAAATTCAAGTACTAAAAGTTTCTCGTCTATGATATGACTTTTCTGCAAACTTTTTGAACAGAGGAGTATAGCATTAGAAGCTTCTTACACTAACAGAAGAGTTTTAAATCGAATACTGGACGGAAATAATAAAAGGAAAAATTTCGTTTTGCTAAAACCATGCATAAGTAGGATTAGAAAGATATGTGAGATTTAATGCGTTTTCTAAAAACGCACTTTGCCTTTTGACCTATTACTGATTGCTGTAATGTGTCAAATATTTCTGAAAATTATCAACTGTATATGTTATACAATAAATGAATAGAATTGTTCATGATTTCCTTCATTGTTTCCAACGTCTGTATTAAAATGCATCTGCTGATTTCCATAGCAGTACCTAAAGAATCTCTCCAAATTACTCTAGTAATGGGCCCTATCAATAATTGTAGGTTTAACCACTAGCTGGCAGCATAGCCTAAGCGTGGAGTAAGAGGAAGTAAGCACTGCTGAACACAAAGCTTACTTTCTCTTAAATTTCGCTGAATAGGAGTTGATTGTGACTGCAGAACAAGATACCGTACAAAATGTCAATCAATAACTCTTAGACACAGGACAGTTCATGCGTGGTACAATTGGTTAACATAGTCATGCAATACCAAAAAATACATATGTATATATAAAATTAAAAAATACAAAAAAAAAGTTTTAAATCATAAAACTTCCAAAAATAAAAATCAAAACTTGATTTTTCCTATCCCGAAACTTTCTCGAGTTAATGTAGCTCCCTCTAGTGTGCATCATGATAACCAATTATGCAATTCTCCTATTTCTGCTCACTTCTTAGATATTTTTCTGATGTGGAGGTACATGGTTTTGAACCATAGGCACTCCGTAACTTGTAATAATTGGCATTGACACAGTCATGCAGATTGTCTGCTTGAGCGATCAAAAGTGAAAAACCGAATCGGGAAATAGCGAAAATTTTGGGACCTTTTTCAAACATTATTTAATTTTTATTTGTACAAGCATTGAGATTAAAGAAAATTATTATATTTTAATGTGATGCTCTGGAGGGCCTGGCAACTCCTAGAATCCGATACCTATGAAATGCTTTAAATCTATTCGCCATAATTAGTCAATCTGCAACCAGGCAGTTTTTAGAAACTTTTAGAAGGGCTCAGGAATTTTCAAACTTTGATCATACTGAAGTAAAATGTCTGGTTTTACGTCCGTGTTAATTTCTTATATTCAGTTGTATTACAGTTTTGCAAGATGCCAATTAAGACAGCGAAATATGTAGAAGATGATGCTTGTACTAAATAAGTTCAAGTATAATTCATTACATGTACTTGGTAATGTTGAATTACTCAAAATATTAGGTAAAGGAACGTCTATAAAGACATTCTATGAGTACTGTATGATCGGATTGGCAGACTGGGAAGATTTTTTTTCAGATTTTTTTTATCGCAAAAGAAAGCCGGAAGAGTTTAATATTGCAGATACATTGAAAAAGTGCTAAGTTTATGATTCTTTACTCGGACTATGATGCTTCTTAAATCTCAGTCCCATTCAAGTGAATCTTAATCGTGTCTTCAAATTGTTATCGTGAAAAACATGTCCGGCTTCTTACTAGATCAGTTGCACTGGAAGACACCTAAAGTTGTTTTTCCGACAGTGGTTTGACATAGACACTCAATGGGTTACAGCCGAAAACATCGCGGCAAAAACATCGCAGACGAAAATGTCGCGGAGAAAACAACGCAAGGCGAAAACGTTGTGCTACAAAACATCGTGGGAGAAAACATCGCAAAGAGAAAACATCGCAGTTCTAAAACATCGTGGTACAAAACATCGTCGTCGAAAATAAAGCGGTTCAAAAAACATCGCAGTTTAAAAACATCGTCATTGAAAATATCGTGGTAAAAAATAAAGTATCTACAAATCATCGCATGACGATAACATCGCAGACATGCTTTTTTCAGGCATGCTTTAATAAGTGTAAATGGATATTCCCATAATGATTTGTGAGCGCAAGATGGAAAGAAGGATAATTTGTTTTCATATTTATATTAACTAATTTTTGCTGAGAAAATAAAAAGGAAACTTAAGCATAAAAAATTAATGCAACTTATAGCACTTAATAGAATTTTAAACCGACATAGTTAACTAACAAAGGCCATTAATAAATCATTTTTATAAAGTTTTTACTGGTTATATTTCATGAAAAGTATAATCTGTAAGTTACATTTAATTTTCTATGCTTAAGTTTCCTTCTTACGTTTTCAGCAAAAATTTATTAGTTAATAAAATATGTGAAAGTAAAATTTATCCTTCTTTACACCTTGCGCTCACAAATCATTATGGGAATATCCATTTACAATTATTAAAACCTGAAAAAAGCATGTCTGCGATATTATCGTCATGTTATGATTTGTAGATACTTTATTTTTTACCACGATATTTTCGACGACGATGTTTTAAACTGCGATGTTTTTGAACCGCTTTATTTTCTACGACGATGTTTTGTACCACGATGTTTTAGAACTGCGATGTTTTCTCTTTGCGATGTTTTCTTACACGATGTTTTGTAGCACGACGGTTTCACCTTGCGTTGTTTTCTCCGCGACGTTTTCGTCCACGATGTTTTTGCCGCGATGTTAACGGCGGACACCCACTCAATGATCTGCGAAGGACAAGGATATTCACGCTGAAGCTGATGTACGCAGTGAACATTTTCCTTTCATAAAGCAGTCAGTGTTAACATCGCTAGGTTTAATGGTAAAATGGAAGCAATTCGTATAGCGTTATAATAGCTTCCTATAGCGAAACCTCCTTCTCCAGAGATGTTATGTTCTTCTGTTCTAGATGTACCCTTCGAGTACTTGACGGCTGCATATTGTCGACTTTAAACGTATTTATAAATGCCTGCATCTTCTGAATTCTCTTGCTGATTGTATAAAATTACAGTGGCTGTAGAGGGTCCTGATTTCCCGGCGAAGATAAGTATGTCTGCCCTTCAGAAACCTAGAAACTTTTATCCTTCTAAGAAATTGTTAAAAAAAAAGGAATTTAAGGACAAGAACATAATTGCTCGAGAATTTTTGCGTACTACAGCTGTGGCAGCGTTCTTTCTTTAAACTGAAGACGATCATCTAAATAAATAAATATGATTGACTGTGAATAGATTTATAAAGAAATACATGTAGCGTATAATTGCGAATTTTTACATGGATACACATGTTTAAGATAAAAAATATGATATCAACATGTAGTGTTTCACTGAGAGATAATAAAAAATCTTTTTAATCACTATAAACAAACGCATTGTTTTCTGTTTAAAGCTTTATTCTATTTTTGATAGCGTAGCAATATTCGTGTGGAATGAACTGAAAACTTGAATATCGAGTATACTTTTGCTGGAACAAAATGGTTAATTTCTATTTTTTGCCATTCTGTCTGGTTCTGAATTACACAGATTCTTCTTAAGTTAAAGGATTTAAGGAGCTTAATTTGTATCATAATTGCAATTATCTTTTTTTAAATATATCAATACATATACAATAAAGTGTGCTGAATAATTTGTATTTACTTACTCGAAATTTGCAGAGGAGGCATCTCCGATGAATGCACTGAAAATTAAAAAAATGCAATAAAATATTATGCTTTAAAAAATCCTATATTTATCAGGTTAAAATTTTTATTATTTATTAAAAATGACATTGAACCATTTCTAGGTTCATGCTTTTACGATCCATTTTGTTTTTGTCGAACTTAAAATTCTATTATCTACTTAAAATTCTATTATCTACTTAGTTTAGACATTAATTTAGACACAATGTTACATCCAATTATTGTCAGCAATAGAATTTACCGAATAAGCTTGACGTAAAAGAATGAAAATTTTATCTGCAGTTGCTTGCGAAATTGCATTTTCAAATAAATTACAGTAGAATAGAATTATCACTAACTCTAAGAATTTCACAATATTTGAATTATTTACCCTTCACTCATCGATAGACCGAGAATAATACCGCAGATAACAAGCTTTGTTTAAAGCACTGCAGCAACTAAGAAGTTGTTATGGATTCTCCTGCGAAGATACGGTTTAATTTCTTTCTTTTGAGAGGTTAGAAATTTATGCTCTTTTCTGGAGAGGAGAAAGTTCATAGAGAAGGGATAGTTCTCTTTTATTTCAATCAGCCCTAATAAACGAATTTAACTTCAACCAATTTAACTTTAGAGCAATTAGAACAACACTGCGTCGATTATTTTGACAAACCTTTTCAGGAAAAGATTCTCGAGGTAATGTTTGTTCGCCTTGTGCTAATTTTTGCTGCAATTTACATCATGGACTTACTAGATTTGTTCGAGAATGAAGCATAATTCCATTATTTCTAGGTATAGGGTATTTTGCTAAAACATCACAAGTTCTTCGACTCTCACGTAATAAAATTCTACATAATGAAAGATGTACGATGAAAAAAATCGACAGTATTACAATAAGAAATGGAAACTGGCTAAACGGAAATCGCTCGCATTCATATTTAATTAAAGTTTATAAAAAGAGAGAGATAAACTGCGGATAATAAGAATCTCTTTGACACGTTTTGAATATGATGTAGAAAAATATAACATCCAGCAATAAAAAACCTGTTTAATCTATCTGCTGATGTCGAAATTACATTTCTAATAACTGGTTGTTACTGACAGTGCAACAAGAAGAAATTCAATAGCGGCCTGCCAAATCGGATGCAGAAAGCTAATCTTTGCTAATCCTAAGTTGCAGTAAAGAATTATAACTATTTAAATTCCATATTCGCATAACTAAAATTTGCATGTTCTTTTGAACTCTAGAACCATGCATAACGAAAAATGAATAGTATGGGCGAAAAGCAAGATATCAAACTTAATTCCGTGGTGTTTTGCATTTATTAATTACTTATCATTTTGCCTTTAATGTCTAATTTCGTGGGCTGCCAATAGGATGAAAATATATGTAATAGAACAGACTTATTGATTTTAAGTGAAAGTAACGATTACTGACCGTCTCGAAATAATTTCGGCCAACTTCTAAATTTACTTGAATTGGTTTTAGCCTTTGCTAGCCGTGTTTGCTGGTGTGATCAGAATGCCTGAGCTAAAACTTATAGGCAAATTTTTTTCTTGTTAATATCATATTTTAAATGCTTAAATTTTATTTTCGTCTTCTATGGTCTGTTAATCTCGCAAGCAGCAGAATTCTTCTGTTATGTAAATTGTTAGGTTGATGAACTAGTAAAATATTTGTTTTAAATCTTCTCCTGAGCTGGTGTTACTTTATTGAAGGATTAGGACGGGCGTTAAGTCGCCAGATTAACTTAACTTTACGGAGCAAGCGATTAACCTTTAGAAGCTTTAGGTTCCACAAAACTATAAGCAAATGGCCATAATTGTCACAAGGTTAAACAAAACCTTCTTAGTAACTGTTTAAACCTGATAACGGTTTTAATGATATTTGAACGTCGCTTTCTTTTAATTAGGCCATTGCTTTAAATTACATTTTTTATAAATCCCACATATGTTACAACATTAAAATTTATAATTTTATTCTTCTTAAAAACAGGAATTTGACTTTTTTGACATTTTTCGAGACGAAAATTGTAGCAGTTTGAAAAGTATCGGCCGAATCGGGGACGAAAACATCTCGGTGAAAAAAATACAAGGCGAAAACGTCATAATAGAAAACATTGTGGGAGAAAAGCAAGGACAAACATGACAGTTCTAGAACATTATGGTATAAGACTCAAATCGTGGGAAACAAAGCAGTTCAAAAGCTTCGCAATTTTAAAGCATCATCGTAGGGTATATCTTGGTAAAAATAAAGCATCTACAAATCACCACATGACATTAACATTGTAGATATGCATTTTTCAGGCTTTAAGAGTTGTAAATGTGTATTAGCTTAATGATCTGTGAGCGCAAGAAGAAATGAGGAATATTTCTTACCTCTATGATTCATACATTTCAGGAAGGTTAGATGTAAAATTAAATATATAGAATCTTTTTATAATTACCACTCTTAATTTCATGCTGTTTTTAGTTCTGCGGATATGAATATCTAATCGAAGTAATGTTTAAGGCCTATGTTAGTTTCTGTTCTCAGAAACAGTAGTCATTATTATGAGATAATCGCCAAAAGGGTTTACTGTAACTATATTTTATTTCTAAAAAACAATGCTGTAAATTTCCTGTTTTTATTTTAAAAGCTTTCCAGTATCTGATGTAAAAGCGAACTAATACTAATTTTCATAAAAATTCACCTGCTGAAATGGCCACCAGTGGCAGAACGGTAAAGTCACTAAACACAGGTATTTCGACCCGGCGAACGAACTGACTGCATGAGAGTTTCGTGGTTGTCCTAACGTATAACGTGGATATGAGCCAGTTCCTAAGAAAGTCCTTCCTAAAGCCAGCCCTTCCCTTAAAGCAAATAGCCCTAGTGTGCACTGCGATAATCAAATAAATCCAAATCCCTACTCAAACATATATAGCTGACATGTTTCTTCATAAATAACGAATCAACAACCAAACGATAAACTAAACGCTATAGTACATGCAAGGGTCAATGACACTTTAGGGAGGCGAAATAAACGGAAAAGACTTAATTTATACTAAAAGAATATCAGAGTAACAAAGGTAAAACAAAATAATTTTACAATTTGATAATTAAACAATATTATTATAGGTATCCTCATACAGTTGCTCATCTTTCCTTTTTCTAATCTTTCTTTAAATTTAATTTTTCATGAAAAACTCCGAATACAACTTTAAAACATGAACTCAGAAAGGGTTAATTACCCTTTATTTCACTCAAATTAAGATTAAGAGTCGACCCCTTTCTCAGGGCGTAGAGCAAAGCCTCCACTTGGGCTTAAAATATAAGAAATAAGAAGTAACTAATGACTAACTAAAGAGATTTAGCCAAAGCTAACACAATTCTAAACTAGTTGGCCCGTAATATTAAATTAGCGTAATAAGGCCGAGCATAATAAAAGCTTACTGAGACGTAGCCTAAAGGCAAACGCACGCTACTAAAGAATCCTCACTCTCTCTCGAAGTTAGTTAAACTTGACTTAAAAACTATTCTCTTTCCCATTTGCATTTAACGCAATTCTAAAAACTCATTCTGGTAGGGCATTGTAAGCTGAAGATAGGAAAGACAGGAAAGATGAACTAAATTAAAATAACTGTTATAAAATTAAAATATATCTTACAAATTAATTCGAAAATATGAAATATAGAGGTAAAAATATTTGTCTTTCCTTCTTTTTGTCACAAATCATGATACTAAAATGCATTTACAACTTTTAAAGCATGAAAAATGCATGTCTTCAACATTACCTCACGTGATGATTTTTAGGTGCTTTATTTTTTACCATGATATTGTCTATGACAATGTTTATAACTTTGAAATTTTTGAACCGCTTTGTTTTAGATGACAATGTTTTAAAACTGCGATACATTTTTCTTTGCTTTCTCTTCTCTCAATATCTTATACGACGGTATTGTTTTCTCTTTGCGTTATTTCCTCCGAGACGTTTTCTTTGGTGATGGTTTCACCAGTAATCGTTTGAAAGTTTGCTTTATTTGATTAACATCTTAAAACGGAGCCTCTTAAATTGGGACATGTTCACATCCAAAGGTTCAAAACATGTTTAATTCTGTAACTGTTCTTAAATATTTTTCATGCAGCAATATAAAACTATGTTCACATTAAATTATTTTTATATTAACTACATTTTCATTTGTGCAGCTGAATTTCGATATCAATAAGTTGAAGGAAAATGACGATTTTAATAAAAATTAATTTAATAAATGTGCATACTCACAGCTAGATCCAATAATTTCCACCACAGCAACTGGAAAATATAAATATATTAGCAATTTTTGTTGAATAATCGCATATATGCATAAAAATTGTCGATGTTTTGATGTTCAAAGATATGATTATGAAACTGTTTTGGAAGAATAAACTTCGATTTATTAAAAAAAGAACAAAATTATATTTATTTATTATCAAATTTAATGCATAAAACTTTTCACACCGAAGCATGTTATGATGCATAAAACCCAAAAAGAATATGGAAACTCAATTACACAGTCTAATAACTGAAATTAAAATAGAAATTCATTCAGTCAGCTGGATAGTCTAATGCTCTGCTGGCCATTAAATTTGCTACACTAAGAAAGAAAGCAAATAGTAGAGTGATTATTATTTGTTATAATTCTGCAGAATAATGGGAGATAATCGTCGTTAAATTTTCAGGTGGTTTGGGGTACGTAGCTTGAAGAGCCCAGTATATACAGCTGCTAGCTCTGGCAACAAAAACGGCGTCAACCCAGCTGGCCACCGAGTCGAACTGAGCTGTGATGATTGGACGAACAAAAGGTGATCGCGCTCAATGGTACCCCATACCAGTACGCCAGATGCTGGGCGCACATGACGACGAAGAATGCAAACTCATAACTTTCACTCTCCAAGGTATCTATCTCTACATAGTCTTTCATGATGCTTTATACAGAACCGAAATTGGTCTGAAAAGACGAGGAGCTGCCAGTCCTGTGTTCAATGTCGTCGTCCCCGCACCACTGTAGGCTCGCGTTTCTTTGCTGCAGCGTCAAGGAAAGCTGCAACAGTGATCGCCATGTTGACCGGCCGTTGAGCTGCAGAAGTCATCGCTTTGTCCGTGAGGACACTTGTCGTCTTACACCTTTGCACCAAGTTCCTGACTCAAGGTACTGAACGTGAATGTACGATTCCGCAAGGCCGAGAGAACAACATATATTCTCTTGAATGTTAGTTGCCCGGAGCCGCTGAGATCTTTCGTGATGTTGAATATGGCCTTTCTGAACCCATCTTTATATTCGCCAGACATGGGATACCGATACGAGAATCAATGCCGCAGAACTATAAATCTCAGTCTCGATGGGCGACGGTCACGGCCTTGTCGCGGTCGGCAAGGTGTTGGTAGAAGTTACTCTTCTTATACAAATCATAGCACGACCTCTACGCAAACAATCAACGTTCAACTGCAACTTCCGAATGAGAAACTAGCTGTGCAGGCTTTCCATTTATATACAATGTAGATGCCGTTACTTATATGCGCTTTGTGCGCATGCTCTGGAATGCTATTTATTTACATATCCCAGCAAGTAGTACTTTTCATGCAAATTTGATTTTCTTTGCATGCATAGCAGTTTTAATAGCCAGCAGTGTACTTCATAAAAACGAACTCAGTAAAGGACTTAATCAGTTAAATAATTTAATTATTTAAAAGATAAAATCTGAAAACCAAAAATTACATGTTTTCTCTACAAATTTGTTTAACTCATTAAACGGATGATGTATTTTAATTGACGCACTTAAGGATTTCTCAGAACGGAGCTGAATATCAAAAGGCTAGTTCACGATAATTGTTGGTCTGGTTTTAAATTCTATAGATTCTTCATTATGAAAATTATGTTGATCACAACAAAGTAAGAAAATTTATTTAAGAAGATATGAGTTTCATGACAAGTGTTTTATAAAAAAACATTTTGAATGAAATGTGGGAGAACTAAGAAATAACTTTGTAGGATTTTCTCTATTGAATAGCATTTATGTCAGCTAGGATGGTATGTAGCTTAAGCATTTATAACCATCCGTGTCTGAAAATTAATTGTAGGTCAGACAAAACTGTGAGTTCTACTAGTTTACATCCCATGGGCCTCAAGCATATTATCCCAAGATTTTAATACAGCTCAAAATCCATAACTACAAATTTGGGAGAATTCAGAATAAAACCAAGATTATGTTTAATACTTTGTATATTTAAAATAATAAGAATGCTATACTATCTTAAATCTGGTGAAATAAGAAGTTAAGATAACGATTAATGCGTTATTAGACGTTAGCCACTACTAAGGCCAGACGTGGTAGTCTCTTTATTATGGAAGCACCTAATAGGACGGCCACCGTTGCCTGCTATAAAGAGACAGACAAATTATATCTACGCCTTCCCGAGATTCAAACCCAGGCCCTTCGTTACGGCAATCGGAGCCACTACCCACTCTCCCGTTTGGACGGCACCCGTTGTGTTATAAATAACATCATACAATTACATACATTTTTGAAGCCAAACAAATTAGAAAGTTGCCATTCCCCAAAAATATTTCATGTTAGGCCACTTAATCTAATTGTTATCTTTAAGTTATTTTTGCACATTTAGGTACGTGTTGCATAGTGTATATTATAGAGAAAAATGTATGGGGGTGTCGATGAAGAAAATCATTCTTTTAGAAGAGTTGAATGAAAGAAAAAGTTTGGGAATGTCTGATTTAAATTTATTTAATAATTTCTCAGAAATATGCAAAAGACTGTATAATGATTTTACGTTATTTAAATTAAAGAAACACTTACAAGCATGTATTCAAGCTGACTACCGACTTTATACCTATTATTTGGTCTTGATAAGTAAGCTGTTTGGACAAACGGAAATTCCGGATAGTTGTATTTTCACCGCATTTTGAATGTGAAGTCATAAGAACATTAATTACCATTTGAGAAACAGAAATACTTACCGAATTTCATATTACATGGTACGTCTACAACAGAACTCTCAGCTAGGATGGTACAGTTAGGGCAGAAATTTGTCTCTGTCTTGGGACATGAGATATCTGCTTTGGTTCTAGGACTGTAGCCAATCTTCGGAGTGTATTCGTCGAAGACATTCGATTTCGCTGGTGGAGGCATCGGATATCCAGTATATGGGCACTGAGGGATTTTAGTTTCTCCAGCAGGTAGGATGATGAAGACGAAATTCTCGTTCAGCTGAAGCGGTATCACAGTTTGAGGTAACTCTGGTCGAACGGTTGACAACAAAATGCCGTATGCTGGACCTAAATATGGTAATCTGAATTATTATAAATCAAATTCAACATAATGTAAAATTTCACCGTAAGACTCCATTATTTTTTCATTGTTTTTATTTAATGGCAAAATATGTAGGGGTGGTATTTTTAATTTTAAGGACAGCAAAATATAAAACTAAACATATTTGATGTGCCATATGTAAGTTGAAATTTGAAGGTCAGATTAACCTGAAGACATTTGAATCTGAAAATCTTAAATCGGGAACATCCATTTTTAATTAATTTTAAAAAGAAATTTTAACTTTAAATTGAAGGACCTTTTCTTTTTTTGAAAGTTTCTTAATGCATATTATCACTCTGAACCAAAGGTTACGGGCAGTTTTTTCACCTGTATTAAATTTAATTATTCATAATTTTAAAAATTTATTTAAGCTTTGAAAATATTTTAAATTTAATTTTCTTATGCCAGTTTTAAGCAACTGAGCTAGATTTTTAGTTTTGAAAATCCTTATTACACATATTTTCATCTTATTACTTATTTCTTATTACATCTTATTTCTTTTATTACACATATTTCATACACATACGTGTATATGTGTTAGTTAAAGGCAGATTCTTAACAGTTGTATAAAAAGGAATGATGAAACACAATAACAAATTTTACTTACTGAAGTCAAATGCTTTGCATTCACATGACAAGGGAAAGTAGATTTCAAAATCCACAATTTTTTCGTAAGGCGAATTCACGTTTGTTATATCGTACAATCCTCTCACATTTGTTCTGTAGCACGAATCTTGTGGAGCTGTGGAAAAGAGAGGAAAACGGTGTTTAAAGAAAAATTCATACGCTACGACAAAAAGAACACGCGAAGAAGCTAAATGTTAAAACAAATAATAATAAGCAACTGGAACCGACATAACCTGAGTAATTTTGTAGTCCTAACAGTTTCGAAGGTTAAAAAGAATATTCTGTTTTAAATGATGGAATGAAAATGATGAAAAAAGAAACAATTGTTTATGTAATAAAACAAAGAAAATTCGAGAATGTTCTTTTTAAATGGTAAAAAATAGAGCTACTAATTCCATCTATTGACAGAAAAGTGAACGAGAAGCTACAAAGAAACAAATTTTTGAAAAGATGATGGAAAAAAAGAATTAGGATACAGATTCTTAACGACAGCTGTTTGAAACCAGCGGTTTCCATATGGCACAAGTGAATTACATTTTATATCATTTAATTAGAATATTTTCGAAATCCCCTCTTTTGTTTTGATGTGAGTTTTCTCAACATGTGAGTTTTTGTCTTTTTCATTCATGCAGCTGAAGATAGTTCAGTTCAACCTTCAGTTGCAAAATGATGCACATTACACCTTCTCTTAATTATTATTAGTTGCTTTAATATTTAATTCATAATTCATCTTTGACTTAAGATGGATAATGAGTTAAATATTAAAGCAAGTAATAATAGTCAGTAAAGGCGTGGAATTGTTAAAAGTAAAGACGTAAAATTCTTAGTATCTGTATAGTAACTTATAACTTCATATTATAAAACTTATATATACTAATATATATGTTACTTTATATAATAAAGTACTTACTTAATAACTTATATATTAATATATAAGTTATTATATATAAATATATAAGTATAAATTAATATATAAAATTTATATATTAGTATATAAACTGATAAATTTATATACTAATATATAAAATTTATGATGGTGCAGTTTAAGTTTAAGTTATATACTTATATATTAGTTTATATACTAATATATAAGTTTATATTACTTTATATTGTAAAATAAACTTATATATTTATAAGTTTATTTTACTTTGTATAAACTTATATTAAATATATATTACTAAACTTCTTATAAATAGCATAATCAGTAAAGAAAGAAATAATCACTAAAGTCGTGGAATTGTTATAATTGTTGAAGTTTCTATAAGGCATAAGTTTCAAAATAAAAGTGGGCAGTACCTGCCTAATAAAAAAGCAGCGAAAAGTAAAAGTATGCAAAATTATAAATTTAAAACTGTATCAATTAAATATTAAATTTCGTTTTTGTCGGGAAAGGAAACGAAAAAAAATGGATCAGAATTTAAAATACGTGTATGAATCACACGTAAAAATACTGGATTGCAATTTTCTGGGATAAGGAAGGATTTTAAGTAACTACGTTTATGGTTCGACTAGATAAAATTTAGAATTTACACTGTACTGGAGAAATTCTTTGAAATTTATTTAGCAACAAAATGTGAAAGCATAACACTTTTCAAAATAGATTAATAAAAAATTCTCAATTCCAAATGATATTTGCCATTCTTTGAAAGAATTCATCAGTGGCCAGTATCTGACAGTATCTGGTTTTGATAATATTCTAGCGCATTTTTGAAACTCGAAATGTATATTTGAATTTGTAGCGTAGTTACTTGCACGTTTCTCCCTCTTTTTTGACTAATTTTATTGATTGAAAATCAAAAGGGAAAAATATAGAGTGGCCGTAAGACAACGTCCAAGATATATGAACTTCTAGCAGCTTATCCACTCAAACAATCGAAAGGAAATTTCAGCTATTGTTACTTGAAAGTATGCACTCGACATTATGATGATTTAATACAATAGAGCTCTCACTGTTACAATAAAAAAAATTTCGAAATTTCAAACGGCAACAACACTTTTTTCTGCGCAAATTGATTAGCGCATTGAAAAACATAAACGGCCCAAGGACGATACACTTACGACGAAAATTGTCAGCGTAAAAATTTGCAAAGAAGAGCATTGTAAAGGGTTAATGTCAATACAAGAGAGCAGAGGGAGAAAAAATTTGGAATTACAAGTTTTCAAAGTGTCAGTGTTTCAAGATAGCGTCATCACCTGTAAATTTTTCGTGGTCACGGCGATCCCCTACCTCACTCCACTGGATTTCCAATTCTGATGTTTCTGAAATCTAAGGTGTATACATCAAATCCACACAATTTGTCGGAATTCGCATATAAAACGCGAAATTATTCAGATTATAGAGCCATTAGGATATTTTGAAGCAGTAGACGTGAAAAATGAGCATTACCCTCGCCGGGACTCGAACTTGGATCTCTCGAATACTCGCTGAGTGCCTACCGTTACACCGCGAAGGCTTGCAGAAAGGGGGGGGCACTGGGGATTAGGGAACATGTTCTTCAATTCCTGGTGCTAAAGAATCATCATCTACCTTTTAGTTCGGGCGCTACTGTAGATACATAAGTTAGTTTCGATGTCAGGAGACTGAAAAATGTGCAATGCCCTCGCTGGGACTCGAACCTGGACTTCTGGAATACGCGCCGAGCGTGCTACCCTTACATAACGAAAGTATACAGAAAGGAGAGAGAAAATACCTTGTACCTTGTCTCCTGGGTTGTTACGTTCGTCACTGTTGTCAACAACCTCCCGCATGCAATGCCTTTTAATATCTGAATGGGCACGTTGAAAACTTGACTTTAATAAACGTCTTTTCTCATTCACCTTTTACCCTACCTTTCAATTCGGAGAAATCTGTAGATTTGATGTGTACATGTTACATTTTGAACGATGAGTCAATATTATACATCGCATGTGATAAGGTACGTAAATGAAGGTACTCGTAAATGAAGAAATTTTTTAATGCCTAATATTATTTCTGACAGCGCATATTTTTATTTGAATATTTTAAGATATTGTTACGGATTTGATATTTAAATAGCTAATGTTAGTTGAATTATAAATTAAATTGTTTTATTCCCCGTGCAGTGTAGCGCGTGATGAATATTAAAGGAAAGCTATGCCAGGAAAATTAAAAATTCAAGAGCACGTGCATTTAACATTTAATAAATATCTCTTTTTGGTTTCGAGAAAGTTCCAGAAAATTCTCGCTCGCGATGTAAAAATCTTATAAAAAGCAGGAAAACCTCTCAATTCGATGATTTTAGTTTGTTTGTTGTTGCTTTAAGAGTTTTTTAGAAAACTGCTCTTGTTGTCTGTAGCGAATTCGCGGATTAGCTTTCTCTAGCTGTTTTGAATTAAGTTCTCTTGAACGTTTGAGTAGTTAAAAGATAACTACTGTGAGATATTGTAATACTGCACGAATATTTTATAAAATTTAAGCATATTTGTCGTGATAATAATACATTTTTGTTCCTTTTTCGTCGGACTTATGCATTTATTTCGTAACGAACCCGTACGCACGCAACAATATGATAGATTTTTGCATTTATAAAAAATTAAATTATTAGGAGATATTAATTAATTTGAATTATTGGGAGATTATTAACGTCTATGGAAACAGGAAGCATAAGAAATCAGCTGGGTCCTCTCCTGTATTCCATTCACGGCTTTCAATCACTAGATAAACGTGCTACTCACGTATACTCCGTTACAAAAGCCCGCACGAGGAGATGAAATAATTCTTCGTATTCTTTTCTTTACATAGAATGACTTGGGAGCAGACCCGAGGCCTACTCATCCCAGTCCTGGTCGCGATGAATTATTTCTCACTATCTTTTAATTCGGAGAGATTGTTTGATGCAAGAAACATCAAAAATCGATTGTGTCGTTCCTGGTGTTCGAACTAAGGATCTGCGTAGACGTGCTAATCACATATATGACGACAGCACATACGGGGGAATGTGATAGTTCCTTACAAATCTGACCTGATTATTATACATTAGACATAAAATTCCGATTGTGGTATAGCTTATTAAGTAGACCTTATTTTTAGAGTTTTTGATCGTTGCATCTTTCTACGGAGTAAAGGAAGTACTGTAATCGCGAAAATTTTCGAATATCATATTTCAAAGGAAATATGCGTTTGGACCCTTTCCGAGTCTATTTGGACAATGTTTTGTGTGACATCTGTACGTAAAGACATAATAAAGCGCTCTTTTTCCAAAATTGATCATAGAATGGATTTAAAATGAACTCAGAATAATTTTTTCGTGACTTTTGTACGTACGTATGTATCTCGCATAACTCAAAAAAGATTAGCCGTAGAACACTGAAATACAATTAAGTCATGTGGTGCGCGCGTCAGATTATTTTGAAAAATATAGCTGACTTCATATTTTTTCTATTTTTTGTCTCTTAGGGATATTTGGCTGCATTTCTTGTCTTTTTAAACATGAAGACATTTTAACTTAGTTTACAGACAAGTGTTCTTCTGTTGAAAGAATTCTAATGCGACATAAAGAGAGTTCTTTTTAGGAATGAATGTGATTCATAGATTTATTCGGCATTGAAAGGTGCAAGCAAAAAACAAAATAGAATTTGCCTGTCGGATGTCTAGAAATCACGACTTGAGTTATCAGAAACGAAAGGCTGCAGTAAGGCGTTTTGTGTACTCAAGTTGAAATGTCATATTTCATGCAGCAAAATTGCGAATTTTCAGAAGACGATATTGTTGATAAATTTTGGGTTTAGTGATGGATATTTTGACAGAGAAGGGAAAGAGAGATGTTCCCTTTTCCGTGATAAAATAAGAATGATGCAGGTGGAATTGATGCACCTGGTATTTTATCGCTCTTTACGGTATTAGGTATTTTCTCACTCCTTTTCGCATGCTTTCGTAGTGGAAGTCCCAGAGGGGGCATTGCAAATTTTTCACATCCCATTTTTTTTCATGCACATTTTCCTCTCACGTTTTTCAAGTCACATAACTTAAAAAAACCTAATGACTTTGCAGCTGTAAATTGGCCTTTATGTAGAAACATTTTTACAGCAACGATAAAGAAATATCACAAGGAAGACATTAATATGCCTCTCAGAATATAAATATTTTCATATTTCTATTTGAAGTGGGCAAGGTTTATATTGAATATCTTCATCTTTGTCTAGATGTTCATCGAATGCTTCTTTATTACATAGATGAGAATTTTAAAATATGAAAACCCAGAGTTTCTAAGAAGTTTACACTTTTATACAGGTAACCCTGAGTAGAGAAATGAGCATTTTATTTAGCAAAGTATTTTTAAATACGATGAAAATAAAATTAATAATTAATGTAAATATTTTTGTGTACTAGATACTACTATTTATTGACGTAAAACAAATGCTTTTGTACAAATTTCTATTAATAATTGTTCATTAAGTATCAGCTACCTTTTATTTCTGTCATTATCCTTTAATTTTGGTGACCAGTGTAAATATTGAAAACTGGGAGATTCGGTGACACCGGGACACCGGGCGATGCGATGAAAATCCGGGAGTCCCCAGGCGTTGAATATTCACTTGCATTCCTAAATCTAAGCAAAACATTAGACCTTAATGTTTTGCTTGACCATCAAGGGTTTGGAAAGAGTAAACAAACAAGAAAGGTTCCTTTAAGAGGGGAAAATGCCTCATTCCCTAAATATATCTTTCCGTCTGGTTTCATTTTGGTCATGAAACCATTTGGTTTCACTTTGGTCATGAAACCGTCTGGTTGCATTTGGTCAAACATACAAGATTATCTGCTTATAAATTAATTTTTATCGTTGTTTAACTACTGAGATAACGAAACTAAATGATGTATAAAATAATCACAGAGATAAAATTTGTAATTATATTACAAGAATTTGGAAGAACTGTTATTAGCGTTAGATTTCTTACGCAAGAGTAACTCTACTAACGTATTTGTAAGCGTTTACAGAAAAAAAAATTAAAAAAACTTACTTGGAGCTTCTTTTCGAGAAGCGGCCTCAGAAGGCGTCACTAAAAAAAAACAAAATTTCAGATTATTTCTTGAAAGAAAATACTATTAAGCACTTTTTAAGGGTGATATAAAATTGGATTATGATTACTTTTTATTTTCTTAAAGCTATTACTTTGAATGGGAATTTTCTGGTAGTCGGCGCTTCATCGAGAGTTATTAAGGATTTCATATAACCAACTAATTGTTCAGAGGTTGGAGATCTGGCACCATAGCAGTAGCCTATACTTGCAGCCATTTTCCCAATTCAGTTCGAGAGAAAACTTTTTTTGCATCTTCTTTCGGCCTCTTTTTGTCAAAACATTATGGGTTTAAGAATTCCATTATATACCAACAGAGAATTTATGAAATACGATTTTGATTTGTTAGAAGTTTCTTTCATTATTTCTATTCTGTGTACATAGTTTTCAAGAGACGTGACGGTATCGCTCTTAAAAATCTCGGAGTCGATCTCGTGCGATGTTTTATTAAAAGCTTTTGTATCTCAATATAATGATCAATCATAATGGGATAAGTTATCTCTATTGAAAGGTTTTCAAAAAGTGTGAATTTTATTTTTTGCACGCAAAGCATGGTGATAGATGAGTTTGTTTATACTAAAGTCGCTTGGACTATCTACAGGAAAATAAATAATAACGGAAGAAATATTTTTGCTGCGTGAATGAAGACATAAAAAAGCTAAATAATTAGTAATTATAGCAAAATATTTTAAAATTTTATAAAGTATGTCATGTTTAAAATTGAATTAAACCACTGCTTGATTTTATAATTTTAAGTAGTCCATTGATAGCTCTTAGATCGAGTTTTGATTGTTTTTAAAAAGAGATAAAATGACACACATCACTTTACCTCTTTTCTATCTTACGTATCCACATGAATAAAATTTCTAATATAACTCATACTATGTAGGGAACACAAAATATTCTCAATTAATTAATTTCCTAAAAACGAATTATACTGTAACAGGACTATTTTTTAACAGACATGAAAAGTTTCTTTATTAACTCATTTTAATTATTCTAAAAATTAGTTTAAGACATAGTACATTTTTCTGTATGCATGCATGAGGTCTTCAGAATTTTCTAAAATTTTCTTTTTGAATTAAATACGCTGTGCGAACAAAAACTTAAAAGATCACCATTTTTTTATTTAGCATTTTTAAGAAAAGCGAATTGCTTAATTCTTCCTAACTTTGAATGAAAATGTGCATGCTAAGATTTTAACTAAACGAAATATAGAAGTGAAAATAAACCTGTCGGACTTCAAGACGGTTATAGTTTACTTAAAAAATTAAGTATTAATAAAATATGTATTAAAAATGAATAATTATTGAGTATTAAAAATTAAATTAAGTATTAAAGTTAAGTATTAAAAATGACAAAATAAGGAAGCAGAAATATCGGTAAATACATACCCTCAATGTAGTATGAATGTCCTTCGGAAGAAGCTGAAAGGAGAAAAATAGATATTCACTAAGAATTTTTTAGTTTAAAAATATAGTCTTGTAAATAGCATTCGATAATCTTTTATGGCAAACAGAGACAATAAATCATTTACGACAGTAAAAAAGTTTTGAATCTACAGTAACAAAAATCTAAATTTTTTTTACTTACTTTATGAAATATTTTGAATTGTACTGCGCAGCAATTTTCTATTATAAGGTATTGCTCCCGCCTTCCTAGCGTGCCTTCGTGGTGTAGTGGTTCTGCACGCTGGGCCGGTATCTAGAGGTCCGTGGTTCGATTCCCGGCGAAGGCGATTGCTAATTCTTCATCTCTCGCTAATTCTTCGCAAAAAAAAAAAAAAAATCACCTGATGTCTCTACACTATTATCAAATTTTAATTTAATAGATATCAATTCGATATTCCTTAGTGTTCATTAAAAAATGTAAACTAAAGGCTATTTCTTCTTGATTAACTTCTATAAACAATTTTAGTGCTTAATGATCCTGTTATAAAAATGTACTAACGAAACAAATTCGTATTTATGTAGCATAATGAAGAAACGCACCATCTAATTAAATGGTAATCTTCAGTTAAAATAAAGGTTTCGTTAAACTAAGCGAAAAGGTCTGTTAAAATAACCGCAACAGTCTTTGGTTGAAATAACTGTAACTTCTTCAATATCTCACCACAAGCTATAGCGTTGATTGTTGTCCTTCCTTTCATCCAGTCATTAACAAAATCTTGTGACAGTCATAGCACACGGTGCACATCATTTTTCTTAAAGAAAGAGGTGGTAATTTTTAGTGCAAATGTTCAGTCACAATTTCGTGTAGTAAATATTGTGAAATGTTTTGAAAATGCATTGAGAAGTCGAAAATCTTGACTTGCCTATTGGTACGAAATTTTTCGTAATGAAAAATAAGAGAATTAAAAAATACAACAGCCGAAAATTAACTATTAGCGTAATGTGGTTCAATATGAACGGGACTGATTTTTTTAAACCAAAACCTTTATTACGAATGAAACAGTTGAATATGTCACCCTTCAACGTACTCCCCTCTAAAATCTGTACATTTTTTCCAACGTTTTTATGCCTTTATAATAGATTTTCAGTTGGCTATGAATACATTTCTGTACACTAACGATGATGGCTCCGTTATCCACAAACTGCAGGCCTTCCAGGATAAATTTAAGCCTGGTATTCGGCACTGCAGTTTCATTGTTATCTCTATGAACTACCAAAATACATCCTCTTTATCCTTAAACCACCGTAGAAAAGAACTGGTGATTTGTATGCGTATCACTCTTTGTTCTCGTCTGTCCACCCGCCATAGTGCATGTTTTTTCACAGTGGTTTTTACACTACCAACATTGATTGAAAGCATAGTCGCAAGTTCTTTGATAGTGATGCGCCTAATCTCACGAGTAACCGCATTCATACGATCAATATTTATGGAGGTCCACGGATGGATGAATGGACGAGAGAAAGTTTTTCACACGCTTTTCGTCCCTCAATGAAGCACTTGCATCACTCAGAGGCATAGTGCCTAGAAAAACACATTTTCCCACATCGTGCTTGAAGTCTACCATATTTCAGATGACTGGACGTTTCATCGATCGAGAATTTTGATCACAATGTGTTATTCCACACTCTAAGGCTACTATTTTTCGTTAATCATTCTCGTGACTGCCAGACTGAGCAAGTTCTTATCTGCGCGGGAGGTAAGGTTGGAATAGTGGCTATATTCACTTGGGAACATTTAACGCTGTCTCTAAGTAGTAATCTGTAACAGCAAAAATCGCTAACAAATTGTAACTTATGAAAATGGGATTCATAATTTTGGTAGTTCTCAATCTTGACACACAATGATGTTTGAGTTGTTAAATAAAAAGCATAAATAGGAAAAGGAATACTTACAGACTACCTCTAAAAGAGATGCCTTCTTGGCTACGAAGGGAAGAACTTTTAAGACTGAAACGGAAAAAAGAAAAATTATATTCAGAACGTTAAAAAAAGGGGGAAGAAGAAAATCGTCATTTAGAGATAATTCTTAATGTTAAGCAGTCTTTACATCTTTACTCTGCATTTAAAACCGCTTGCCTAATTATTCCGTATTAACTCGGTCGTCGAAAATTTGGCGACAATAAATATCACTAGTGAACTCGTGGTTCATGGTACATGACAAACTTTTTTTTTATTTATTCCACATAAACTCGCATGTGTTTGGCGGCTACTCTAGTAACCTAGTAACCCTTTTGTTATGAAAATAGTTTTATGCTACGCAGTGGCGTAGCGAAGGGGGCAAGGGATATATGATGCCCCGGGCAGAGGGACGCCAAATGGTCTCCAAACAAGATTTTTATCATATCACTGTGCTTTTTTTGGAGGAGGAAGCGCCCAAAAGATATTTTGTCCCGGGCGCCAGTTATGCTCACTACTCCACTGATGCCACGCCTCTTTCGACTCAGCATCCGGGCACCCATCCACCCGGGTATGAGGTTACTTTTATCTCTGTCAAGCGCGTTAGGTTAGTAAAAATTCAGCCTGTTATGCAATTTGGTGGAAAATACGCTTGTAAATTCGTTCTTTTCGGATTTTGTTTAAAAATCTTGCAGAAGCACGTTATTTTTGACCAGACTATAACGTGCTTTTTTGTGTAGTACCGTGCTTCAAAGCATACCCATACTGCTTCTAATTTGAAATAAACTGTATGTGTAGTCTTCATATTTTGTTTCTTTTTAATCATTTATTTCACATTTTCACTCTACAGATAAATGTCCAAGTTATGATTATCAAAATTTAAAATTGTTTCAAAGTTATTTTTTGCGTTCATTTTTAACAAAAACACACTAACAAGTTAAACCGAGGAAATTATTTATCATTTATTTTGCATTATAAAAATATTTAAAAATACAAAAATTTTGGAAAAATGTTTCTAGAATTTTTTATCTCTTGTTGCACTAATTAAAAACACATAATAATCAAAAATGGATAATTTGTGCACGGAAATTGAAAAATCGTTAGCAAGGAGTTAAAGTGAGAAAGGGCTGTGAGAAATACTTACTTTTGGCATCGCTCGGAGGGGAATCTTTGTCTAATCCTATAGCCACCAGCATTGCTACAAGATAAAATAAAGTTCTATGAATATTTTCTTTACGTAACTTATTGATGCTAAATCGTATTATAAAAATGCTCAGAAAATGGATGTCAACTACTTTAAAACATTAATGGTATTTTTTTTAACATTAACTTTTAAAGCAATATTTTTAACACAATGCGTTTCTCAAAAGAAGGTTGAGAAATATATAACTGAACTATGCGAAATAAACCAACATCAAACGTTGTTTACGAGAGATGATCGAATAACAATGAGTAATATTTTCTCAAGTTTAAATATAGGTAGAAAAAAAAAAAAAAAAAAAAAAAAAAAAAAAGGAAACTACACATCATAGTTCTTTTCTCACGTTCAGAAACACACTCTCGAAATATCTCATTCAATGTGGTAGCAATTTTATAGTATACATTTTTCATCCTTAATCTATTTAAGCAAGTAGTTAGCTATTTATGGACGATCATTTGGACTTCTTCACCCACACTGAAGCATTTGCTATTGATTTTCGAGCATTTAAGCTGTATGCACACTACTTAGGTATTGAGTAAATCCCCCTGCACAGTTAATAAACGTCACAAAAGCTTATAAGAAAAGCTTATAACTTTATAAGCATAAATTCCTTATTTAAGAAAAAAAAGGAGTATTCTTAGCTCTGAAAGAAATAGTAGTGAGTATTCTTAGCTCTGAAAGAAATAGTTGGGAGTATTCTTAGCTCTGAAAGAAATAGTAGAAGAATCTCAGAAGCATTTAAAATGAATTAATAATGTTCAAAAGACACTTACGTAAAACTCCTAATTCCGTCTTTTCAAACATAACATCAGTTTAATTTTTTAGACCGGTGACGTCAGACGATATAGTGGTTAGGGAAATCGACTGCGATACTGAAGCGGCCGGGTTCGAATCCCGCAGAAGGCGTGGATGTAAATTGTCTGTCCCCTCGTAGGAGGTAACAGTGGCCGCCTATTAGTTACCTCCATAATAAAATGATTTCCATTTCTGGCTTTAAGAATTTCGGCTTTCGCCACAGTTAAGAGGCGAAAGCCGAAAACAAAAAACTGGCTGCTTCTTGAACAGTTAAAAAAGACAGGATGATAGAAATGATAGAAGTGCTGAACGGATAGTCAGATTTATCTCGCCAATTTTATACATTTTTGGCGAATCCTTGATCCCATTTCCGAGTTTCATTATACAAAATATTAAATTCTGCTAACAATTCACCTATATGTAAGTCTAGCGTAAAATATATCACAGCGCTACCGCTCCAAAATTCATGTTTGTTAATGTCTTCTGCAACAATTTTTTCTTTTTACTGCAGAAAAGAAATCTATTCCATTGGGAGCGCTTATTAGCCTGTTTAAGTTCCTGTCAACGGACTTGACTACCTCACTATAAACTGAAACTATGTTCCCTGAACTTGTCAAAGTTAAGGTGAGAAAGATTCAAGAACTTAGCATAGCTTAAGGGGAGCAAGCAGGCTTTGGAACTATTATGTTCTGTACTAAATGGACTTCACTACGGCGTATGATTAGTAAAAAACACAGTGACTAAGCTCATGAGTCGGATTAAAATTTTTAGAGGTAGTTAGTCCTTAAAAGATTTGTGTGGCCCTTCTTATATTAACTCCTGTTTCTCCTTTCGTCTTTCTCAGTCTTGGTTCAACTGCACTGCACTTACCAAGTAAAAGCGAAACTGGAAAATTTTTGGCGTCTTCTTTTCCTTGATCCCTAAGCACCTATTTGTGGTGACCCCTCCCCTTGATACTCTGACCACATGTTTATTTTGCTTTGCGAGGTTTAGTTAATTTGTTTAACCAGTTATTTTATGTTTGGAATCTTTACTGTCACTTCTTTTTTTCCGTTTTTCAGCCAAAATGCAAATTAACTCGCACGTATATAAGTGAGGTTTAGTGTTTGTTAAGACACAGCGAGTTCCACCTCTTGAAAGTCACGCTACTAGGTTGCTGCTTTAAGAGTTCTAGTCTTCATCTTTGTGTTATACTTACTATTATTTAATGTTAGGTCGGGGAAATCGGAACAACTTTGCGATCAATTACTCCATGTAGCCTTTGGCTACCCTCGAATTCCTACTTTGAGTTCTTGCCATAAATGCTGGCGGATTTGAGAGCACCAGGTGTATCTTCTTTTCATCTATTTTAGCTGACAATAAAGGGTCATTTACATCCTTTTCAAGTCTCTGTTGTATTTTTAGACATAGGGATAAGTCGCTTTACTCTATCAAAGTTTTGGGACACAGTTTACGGTAGTGAACCTTGTAGCTTGATGGATAATTCAATTCTGCTAATGTGTGCACATGTAAGGTAACGATGACACGTGACCTTTGGGCACACAGTACGATAGTTCATACTCATACATAATTATTAATGATAGCTTTTCACTAATGCATGACAGAAAGATGCACAGAGATAAATGCAGAAACGTTTTCCGGTACTGAGGAGAAATAATTTGTAGTTAGTTTTCTACGTTGAAACTTTTGACTGAAATTCAGTTTCTTCTCAATTGTAGAATTCAAAAATAACTCCTCTGAATTAATTCAAAGCAACAAACAGTGTAGTCTTTTATTTATCTGCGATCCTGGAAAGATTCATGGGAAGGACTCAATCGAGGCAAGAAATTTCTCCGATTAACCGCAGGTGTCTATATGATAAAAAAATAATGTTTTTTGAACAAGGTACGTTAGAATAAGTGCCACGATGGAAGTAATGTTTTTAACATCTCAGGCCTTGTACCTGAATATAGCTAAGAAGCATAGTTTTGTCTTATGTACACTCACGTTTGTGAAAATTGCAACACCAAGAAGGAATCGTCATAATTGAATGCAATTTAATACACAGTTGAGTGGTAGTGGTACAAATAAATGATTAAATGTTCAAAGCAAACAAACAAGAACAAGAGATCAGAATCAGTATTTTGTGTGGCCACCACGCGCCGCAATAAGTGCTGCTACACGACGTGGCATGGAGTCAAACAAAGTTTGAATGTCTGACTGAGGAAGAGCATTCCATATCGTTTGTACGCGTACCCAAAGTTCGTCTGCAGACGCAACAGGACGAGGATCACGAGCAAGACGCCGACCAATGACATCCCACACATGTTCAATTGGCGACATATCCGGGGAACACGCAGGCCAAGGAAGAAGCTGTACCTGCTGCGCTGCAAAGAAGGATTTAACAATCCGAGCAGTATGAGGGCGGGCATTGTCCTGTTGAAATACAGCGCCTGGCAAGCTTTGAAGGAAGGGAACAGCTTAGGGCTGTAGAACTTCACGGATATACCGGTTGCTGTTCAGATTGCCCACAATTCGTAGTAATTGAGATCGTCTACGATATGCTATGGCGCCCCAGACCATAACTCCGGGTGTTCGTCCACTGTGGCGTTCGATAATGCACTCCGGAAGGTGGCTTCACCGGCATAGGGTCTGACACGAATGCGGCCATCATGGTACCACAAATTAAAGCTGGATTCGTCAGAAAACACGACATGCTGCCAATCAGCACGCCAGTCTCTATGCTGATTGGCCCATTGTAGCCGCAGGCGGCGATGGTCGTGCGTTAGGGGGATCCTGTATAAAGGAGTCCGTGCGCGCAGTCCACACTGCAGCAGACGTCTACGAATTGATGAAGCACACAATGAAACACCTGTAGCTATTGACCACAGTGCTGCCAATTGTCTAGAGGAAGCTGTACGGTCCGTCCGCGCCATGCGGACCAGGTGTCTATCATCGCGAGCTGACGTCACATTTCGGGGTCCACTCCCGGATTTCCGAGTTGTCCGACACTCGTCCGTCCACTGCTTCCAAACGCGCTTCACTGTGCTGCTGTTACGCTGCACACGAGAGGCTACTGCACGATACGACAATCCAGCTTCACGAAGGCCGATGATTCTCCCTCGTTCAAACTCTGTAAGTTGTTCAAATCTTGCTCTCTTTCGTCGACGAGGCATAAGTACAGATTGAGTTAACGTTTACCACTAGCAGACAACCCCGATAACCATACACGCCTCGCTACAGCCGTCTATTTATTCGGATCCATCAGCCGTTCAGAGGGCGCTGCTCAGCATACGCATGCGCTACGGATTTGCAATTCTAATCATTTGCATATCATGCGCTACTTTGCATTTCCTGAAAATTTCAGCTCACTCGCGTAAATCCTTCATGGTGTTGCAATTTTCACAAACGTGAGTGTATTTATTAAAACTTTTGCAAAAAGAAATTTCTGCTTCATTTTTCAATTTTTCTTCGTATTTAAAGGTGATTTTTAATGAGAGAAAAATAAACATTTTAGATATTCAATGTGCTGATTTAAAAGAAAAGAAAAATGTACTGAATTTAGTATTTACAAGAAGAATCAGCTAAAAATTCAAACTTTAAATTAACCTTAGTTCTACAGAAATTTTGATTCGAGGATGTCGAGCAACAAGGGTCTATCTTTATTAAAAGAAAAAATATTTTGCAAATGCTACTTGTATTATTAATTTTTTAAACTTAAACTAGTTATGTGCAATAATGACTTTGATATTGTAAGCTTACATACTATCTAAATATAAATTCATTGAACTTAGAACACAAAAATAATTGATTTAGATTTACTTTTGTCAAGTTTTAAAGATGAGTCATACGTATTACCTACATAATTTATACCATTTTATAAGCAGTAATGGGTTATAACAGGAATATGGGCTTTTCTAAAATTTGATATATTGTATAAAATTGCAAAAAAGAATATAAATAATGATATATACCAGTGGTTGTCAAACCACGGTTCGCAAGCAGCATACGGCTAGTTTAGCCACTTGTTTTTACATTCCTCTTGCCCGCACATAGTTAAAACTAAAAATACTGGCAGTGCCACTTAAGTGCGGCACTGCCAGTTTTAACTATGTGCGGGCAAGAGGAATGTCGGCCAAGTTGACGTAGCGCAGGAGGAGGCAGACGCGACTAATGCACGAGTGGAACGACAGAGCTTGTCCATCAGTGTGTCTAGTGGTGAA